CACACACACACACACACACGCCTTACTTAGTAAATGATCAATGTTGTTTTTCCATTGGCTTAGTGACTACACCTGAATCTACTGATAGTTAAACTACTGTCTGCAGGCCCTGCTACCCCCACCGTTATCACTCTGCTGATCAGGCTGTAGCCTGGCAGGATTTCTGGTCCTGCGGTCACTGGCTCTGCCGCTGCCACCAAATGTAGTTTTTAACTAAGTCTCTACCATTCTATTTACCAATAAAGACTTGGAAGTCAGAAAACCTGGATGTCGTTGCTAGGTTAGTAATTCCTAGAGCAAGAGGTAGCCCTGGGTTTTAATAAGCAAAGCTTGCTCTTAACACATAGCTTCTTTGGGAACAGGGAGATGGCTCAGTGGGTAAGAACATTTGCTGGCTCAGTGGGTAAGAACATTTGCTGCAGAAACATGAGGACCCAAGTTTGAATCCCCAGCTTAAAAATTGGGCATGACTATAACCACCACCCCCCACCTCCCACCTTTGCGCACACAAAGGTCCCTGTGGCAGGAGTAATTCTAAGCAGGCCGCCATCCCTGGAGCAAAACTGGAAAGCTTAGGTGAGGTTACTCCTTGTATAAGTTGACTCTAAGGATGCCTCTAAAAGAAAAAAAAACTAGATATTTTTACCTTGCTCCCAGCATCCTTGGAAGGTGGCTTCATTTGTCACCTTGCTCCATCCAGGACGCACATAGCCTCAACTCTGATTTCTAGCTTCTAGAAGTACAGCACTTGGTCACACCATGGACAGCTGCCTCCCCTTTGCACTAATGGGTCATGGCCAGGCAAGCATGGGGGAAGACATGGAAGCCTGATACACACTTCTCCTTGCTTCTTATGATGTCTTTCATCCCACTATGGGAGCAAAGGCACAAATTAATTTTAGGCTGGCATTTTATATAAAATCAGATCACACTTTCCTCCCTTTCTGGTGCTGGGATAAGGCTTCATGCATGCTAGGTAATTGCTTTACCACTGAACTGTATCCCTAGCCCTGAAGAGCATCCCTCTGATGACAAACCCAGCATATCGCCTGCATGTGCTGAGACAGCACCCAACCCCATACTGAAAGCAACCCTAGGTTTCCCCAAGCCAATTGCCTTGCTTGTGTAGATGCTAAGCCCCAATTTCTTTTGTTGTTTTGTTTTGTTTTCTTTCTTTTTATTTTATTATTTTATTTTTTAATTTATTTTTTTCTATTATCAGTTTGATACAGTACAAATTCTTATCCTAATAGTGAAATGTTTCACTGAGGCTTGCCCAGTGATTGAGTAAAACCAAAACTTATTATAAGCCACAGTCAATCCTAGGGTCCCCCCTGCTATATAGCCTCCCTGGTTCTGTGGGTTGCAGTCTGATTGTCCTTTGCTTTACATCTAGAATCCACTTATGAGTGAGTACATACCATGTTTGTCCTTCTGGGTTTGGGTTACCTCACTCAGGATGATATTTCCTAGTTCCATCCATTTGCCTGCAAATTTCATGCTATCATTGTTTTTCTCTGCTGAGTAGTACTCCATTGTGTATGTGTACCACATTTTCTTAATCCATTCTTCAGTTGACAGGCATCTAGGTTGTTTCCACGTTCTGGCTATTACAAATAGTTCTGCTATGAACATAGTTGAGCATGTATCTTTGTGTTATGATTGAGCATTCCTTGGGTATATGCCCAAGAGTGGTATGGCTGGGTCTTGAGGTAGATCAATTCCCAATTTTCTGAGAAACCACCATATTGATTTCCACAGTGGTTGTACAAGTTTGCACTCCCGTCAACAGTGGAGGAATGTTCACTTTGCTCCACATCCTCTTCAACATAGACTGTCATTAGTGTTTTTGATCATAGCCATTCTGACAGGTGTAAGGTGGTATCTCAGAGTCATTTTGATTTTCATTTCTCTGATGACTAAGGATGTTGG